CGACCTTCGATAGGAAAACTGACAATCCTAGTCAATTAAGATTGGAGTCGAGTGCACCCGCACGAGCGGGGTTCGAACTCACAACCTCAGTGTTGACTGGCTAGTGATTACAGTAGTAACTACTTAGACCACTCGGCCACCGAGGCCCCTTACACTCTCTTTGCATGTATAAGCCGTTTCTGCATGCACCACGGGTAAACCTACCAAATGGCACATTTAACTTCAAAAAGTTATATAGTTTAAATCCACAAAAATCTTCAAATACCAGTTTAATTTTTAACGATTTTGATTCTAAATTTGTAAAAATATTTAAAAATTGGGAATTAAGGCTGCATAACATTTATACTCTAGCAAGAAGAGGATTTCAGATGATCTGTCCTTTCTTTTCCATATACACTTTTCAAGGATAAGTTCCTATTCTGTACATTGAGAAATTTCTGATCTACTTTCACCCTAAAATTAGGGGGACAAGATATTTAAAGCGATCTTTAATGGAAAATAATTATTTCCTGCATGCTTCTGGCCATGTTGACTAAAATGTTATTCGTATAAAATAACATACAATTTCTGGGTTTTTTTTTGTGTTTTAATGGAATGTTGTACATGTTTATCAATGGGATGTTGTGTGATAGTAAACTTATTTTTATAACCTGCATGTTTGCGAGAAGAACTTACGCTTTTTGTCCTCTCATCAAAAAGAGAGATAAAGGGTAAACGTGAATGAGAAAGAGTCGTAAGAACTAAATTTAGATGACTGTAGCGCTTTCAGTCATACTATTCTGTTTCTGTGCCAGGGATCTGACACATGGTGTATCATTAAAGTGAATACCTCTGACTACATAAATATTACTAACATTCATTATAAATGCATTTATGACAACAATCTTAACCTCAACAGAAATTCCGCTGCATCTATTCAAATATTCTTAAACATGTTATAATAGAAGACATTGCGTCTCTGTAAGATACAATCCCTGGTAAGTTAAAAAAAAGAATAAGCAAAAAGCTACCACAACTTTAACCAGCGTCGTGAATGTCAATCATGACGAACGATATGTTTCACGATTGCAAAAATGCACCCAAGACCCTCATATGGTAATTAAAATGTAATTCTTAAAAGAGTAAACATGTAACAGATAATTGATTAACAATTGTGAATATCTAAAATATGCACTTATGAAAGATTATCAAAGTAAATCAAGTGCATAATTTGTTTTCTCCTCTAGACAAAAGGATCAAACCAGTAAAATGTCGTTTACGTAACACTATATAAGATATATGACCTGAATGCAAAATCAGATTTATATATCATGCAAACTAAACCTAGCAAATGATCATGTATCATATGGAATATACGCCACCAGACTGCAAAATCTTACTTTAGTTTCATTTGCTAAAATGCAAGACACGGTGACTAAAATGTCACAATGAAACTGAACTATGTTGTACTACATCAGAGAACTACAAAAATAAAATGAAACATCATCGTTGATTCTTGAAAAATAAAAGCATGAATGCATGTCATGGTCAATAGAATGCTATTTAGCAGTGTTTTTTTTTATACAATATGTCTTTATTTGATGGGAAATTTTGGAATATCGTCGACATTATCAGAAACGCTAGCCAACTAGTGGAGAGTATAAAATAGTGCGAATGCATATGTCGCAGTTCCCAACATTGCTGAAAAATACAGTTTATCCAAAAATGTGGACATTATATCTTTATCATGCTACTGTTCAGGATTGCTTTGTACTTTTTTTTATCTTGTTTTATTTTCAGGTAGGTTAACTCGTTATCGACTAAGCTTTTTTGCTGTAGCGTCAAGCTGCTAGTTTTTTCTCATTATTGGATATAAAGTTTCGATGCAGTGTCAAACTGTATGACTATGAAATTATCAGTAGCTCAAGCTGATGGTTGTACTCGTTATTGATTGTGACATTTTGCTGTGGTGTGAAGCTGTTGTTTTTACTCGATACTAACAATAAAAGTTTGATGTAACTTCAAGATGTTGGTTGTGCTCGTTATTGACTATGACATTTTGATGTAGCGTCAAGCTTTTGGTTTTACTCATTATTGACTATAAAATCTGCTGTAGCGTCAAGCTGATGATTTTAATCGCTATTGACTAAGAAATTTTGCTGTATCGTCAAGCTGATGGTTTTACTCATTACTGGCTATAATATTTTGCCGTAAAGCGTTAAGCTGTTGATTTTGCTGTAGTGTCAAGCTGATGGTTTTACTCATTTCTGGCTATAATATTTTGCCGTATAGCGTTAAGCTGTTGATTTTGCTGTAGTGTCAAGCTGATGGTTTTACTCATTACTGGCTATAACATTTTGCCGTAAAGCGTTAAGCTGTTGATTTTGCTGTAGTGTCAAGCTGATGGTTTTAATCATTATTGACTTTGCAACTTTGCTGTAGCTACGTACAAGCGTTGGTTTCATTCGTTATTGAATATGAAATTTTACTGTAGTTTTACTCGTTATTGACAATGCCAAATTCATGTCGGGTCAAACTTTTTTTTTTCTCGTTATTGACTATCAAATTTTGCTGGAGTTTCAAGTGGTTGGTTTTACTCGTGTACAAACCTTGTGTATGAGTTTTTAATCGTTGTAGACTGAAAAGTTCCATGAATTGTCAGGAAAGAATTACAGTTGCGATGTTCTCCGTTTGATATTTTAACAGTTTAATAAATTTACTCTAAGAAACAGGTCTGACATTCATACATATAACGATATGACATTTTAGCCAAAAACGTTTCAATGGTTTATATATAGTTTCCCTTAAATAGTCTTGACACAAATGACGCATGTTATTTCACTGGTAAGTATGTTATACATTAAAATGATTATGAAAAGTCAGGGGCAATTGTCTCCAAATGTTTTAGAGTCAGACAACTTAATCTGTCGTCCCGCATAATACACTCTGATCGATAAGGCGCAATCCAATACCAATCTCATAATAAATATTTAATCGTATGTCTAGTTTAATTTCATTATTTCATAAACTTCGTTATTTACAGAAATATTTGATACTAGAAATCTATGGAGTTTATGTTCCGGTAATTAACCACAGGAACGGTCAGGGTATCATCTGGCGCTTTAATGTTTTTAATATAATGATCTGTGGTTTTTGGGTGCAAACTTGTGGAAAACATTAGGTTATATTTAAAACATGGTTGGAGTAAATTTACATATGAAATAGGCTAATTGAAACCAATCACCTTATTCGCGGTTTAATCTTTCGATCTTGCAAGTGAAGAGCCGTATTGGATGTTCTTTATAAAACTTTGATGGTATCAGAGAAGACACTTGAATAAATATAAGTGGTAAAATATACAACATATACAATTGTTATTCCATCCCTTTTGCTGTTTAATAAAAGCCACAATAATGATTCTACTTTTCAAGTGCTAGTGTATGGAAAAGAGTCAAGTCTTTGGGTAATCATCATAGCTATGCAACTGTAAAGATTTCGTTGAGTTACCACTGTTGCATTTATATTCGCTTTCTAATCTATATTGTCACACGAACAAAAAGAACTGTTTTCGTCTTTCCCTTGACATAATTTATAAAGGCATGTTATGCTAAGATGTAAATCTTTACAGTCAGGCCATGCAGTGTCAGTTCTGGACAAAAAAATTGAAGCAAGCATAATATTCACTGATAATAATGCCCTGCAACCTTATAAATAAAATATTGGCGTAATAAGCAGTTCTGTGACTTCTGGTTCAAACTTCATAAACAAAACTTGAGATTATGGTTATCAATAGTTGTTTCTTTCGTGATAAAATTAAAGTCAAGGTTAATTGCATCTAAACTTTCTGATTTTATCTCGGAGGATTTAAAGTACGCAATGTTTTTTGAACCAGTAGAGTATGCATTTGACCTTTAAAATTGTTTTGTTACAGCATATATTCTTTTCTCTTAGAGAAGGGATAAAGCAACAAGACTATTCCAAGACTGGAGTTTTGGCATCTATAGAGGGTCGTGATAAGAATAATTTAGAACGTAAAAGTGACCGGCAACACACAAAGTGTGAAACAAAAACACACACACACCACTATAAAAGAACACATGTTGAGAGTTTAGTTTCATTTAAACGTAATACACACTACGGTCTCTACATAGCTTAACCTCCTTAATTTATATCAAGTTTTAAATCATATACTAGTAAGCAAGGATTTGCTAATCGTTAAATCGACACCGTCTCTCATCATTTCTTCTCCATTTTGAAAATTTAGAGTAAGACAGTGTCTGTCATAACTTTTGCATATTTATATACAAACACAAGGAGATGTGATGTGAATGCAAATGAGACAACTATCCACATTGAAGAGGCCAACTGACGTGAATGTGAAATACTATAGGTCACCGTACAGCCTTCAACAATGAGTATTAAAAACAAATACCATATAGTCAGCTATAAATGGCTTATCATACGACATCAATCGAAAACAATATTAATTTCATTGGGGGTTTGCCGAACCATATCTCACATGACCTATGCATAATGTACATCGGTACCCAAATCTAATTAAAATTCATATTTATATTAATATTCTATAATTTAATTAGATTGGTAGTACCAATATAAGCCAGGGTATTCAAAAAATGTCTGCACCCATTTATCTTTTAAAACATCTTATCCATCCAAAACCAAACGCCTGAATAAAGAGGGAAGGAACTTTCGAAAATCGGACAAAACAAAACAGAAAATCCATTGTTTTGGTATAAAAACTATTAATCAATGTCTAATTATAAATAAAACTATTTCAGTATCACTGGTTCACTACATTTTGGTCTTATCGAAGATTTTATCCACTGATTTATAACTATTTGACAGATATGAATATGTGTATCAAGCCATAAAAGGCTTTTGAATATTGTGATACACATAGAATCAATAAATCAGCACGTGTTTATTACAAAATATATATTGATTTTTGTTATCAGACAAGGATAAAGACACAATATTAAATTAAAGGTTGACTTACTTACCGGTATATAGAATAATCACAGCATACACGTGTGGAATCATGATCACTGAAAACTTGAGTAATTGGTAGAGACTTATAACAATACTGGTGACTCATTCATACATCCTCAGTATAAACGTACTTCAGATGTTCAAATTGTACAGTAAAAACGCACAGAAATATTTTGTATAATATGGTTGGTTACATCTTTATAATGAATTCTTGTAATCGATATGGGATAGTTAAATATCCTAAATATAATAAAGTTGACAATGATAAATCAAACCTGCATATATATGTGCAGTATGTCATATAATGACAAAAATAAACGCCTTTATTTAAACAGGTATAAAAATATATTAACTGTTTATAATATGGATTTACGACCGATACGTTTTGCCACGGGGAAATAAACTGGGATCTGAAACTGAAACTGAACGATTTATGTTTTATTATAAATATATAAACCGTCTGATAAAATTGAGAATGGAAATGGGGAATATGTCAAAGAGATAACAACCCGACCAAAGAGCAGAAAACAGCACAAGGCCACCAATGGGTCTTCAACACAGCGAGAAAATTCCGTACCCGGAGGCGGGCTTCAGCTGGCCCCTGAACAAACGTGTACCGTTGAGTATTCTTACCTGGAAAAAATGGGGGCCTGAGGGGTTGGGGTAATAGTTTTGGCGATATTTTATGTGCAGGTTTTCAAATAAAAAAATCCTAAGAGGTACAGTAAAGGTATTTCAATCACAGGCACTTGTCTCTGAAAAAAATGACCTATATACTTTAATATAACACAGGCACTTGTCTCTGGAAAAAAAAGAACCTATATACTTTAATAAATTTTTTTTCAGAGATAAGTGCCTGTGATTGCAATGGCTGCTCAAATATGAAAATATGGTTGTGTGGATTTCTCTTGACCGACATAAAGACTCTTGCTGAGGTAAAGGCGAAGATGGTGGGGGTTAAACCCGATGACCCTTATTAGGAGATAGCCACAATCTCTACACGGAAAGAAACATTGCATTCATTCTTGATGGGATCCACAGAAAACCTTTTGCAAAGCAACATTTCTGTCCCTAACTAGAAAAACTTTTTTTCAAAAATTTCCGTTCTTTATCCACTATTCATAGCTTTTTTGTAATTTGTTTTTCTCCGGCATTAGTATGGAGCGTTAGCCACTGGACTTTTAGTAAACAATAGCCAATACACTTAAGGGAATGAATATTATTTCGCTTTATTTTGATATACATAATAAAAAAAGACAGTTTGTTGTATTGCGGTCATAGTATTGTTAGAATTCCATTTACAACAAGTGATATTGCAAGAGAATTTCATACCTTATACGACTTTAAGAGCTAATACCTATCCGTGCCCTGCATTTGCGTCCACCCAACTACGCAGTCAAAACCTGGAGACACCTATGAGAATTAATCGCTCACATAGCAAAAATATTATCAAGTACCCCATATTAGAATATCAATTGTCATGAATTTCGTCCATTTTTTTCATGACGCATACTATTTATTTCAAAATATGCGGCGTGTATAGGGTGTGTTCAGGTGAAACGACCGAAAATCATTTTGTTTTTTTCTGGATCGCAATATTTGTTTACAATAATTGAAGCTTTCACAGCTAATTTTATTTACAAATCACTCAAGTCACCCAAATGAAATGGTTTGTAGATTTTTGTTTGCTTGTTTATCAATTTTGCTGTTTACAGATGAAATAAGATATTGATTGATTGGTTGATTGTTGCTTGCTTAACGTCCAGTGACAAAAATGTCATGATATTGGTCATGACGATTACCAATAAACAATTAAAACGTATGTCGAACGGGATGGAGGGCGGAAAATGCAGCCTGTCACTGGAAAATGAGAGTATATTGGATAGAGGCAAACATTTTACCTTGCAGCAGGTCATCTACGGACCCATCAGAGTTGTTACAATGGTTCTTTAACGTGGATAGAGCGTGACACTCGGATTTCACGCCCCTTTTCCGACCGGACGCATCTGTTTACTTACACATCCCGCACAGCCCAACATTAGCAAGGGTTTTATTGCCGACGGGAGAATTTCAATGATGTTCATTTTTCTATACCGTGGTCAAATCTTCGGTCATGAATAAAGAGATAAGGTTATACGTCGATACCCAAACAAGGGTTCTAACACGTGCATAGAGCGTGGCACTCCTTTCCGATCGGACGTGACTGCATATGTATTCCTCGCGCACAACCAAACGGACGCCCCACTTGAGCAAGATTTTTTTCCGGATACGAGAAGCCCAGGAACGATCATATTTATATATACTCCATTCAATCTTGCGGTAATGAATAAAGAATAGAGAGATGTGGATTATATGTGAATGGACCTAGCAAAGCACTAAAAGACATCTGGAGTTCTTCAAAGGTAAACAGGTTTCTATACAATTAATACAGCTTCTTTCTATAAATTTAGGTTTTCATGATTAATAAATAAAAAGAAAACTCTATCAATATCATCATAACTGCTAAGTACACGAAATTGGGTTATATTTCGTATTTTGGTGGAATGTTGTATGCATATGGAACTGCCTGATATATGTAGCATCAGAAGTCCTTTAGTACTATTTATAATTCCAAAGACACAACAAATCAAAATTTCGTGAAAAAGGCTATAATTGTTTATAGCGTTCATGGAAAACGGCTAGAAAATTCATTTTTCATTTTAAATTGTGTCTTTTTTTCGAACATCCGTCCACACCATTTCGTTTATTGTTTTGTGAAATTTCTTATGTGACTGTCTCAAATTGTCTTTGAATGTTTTCTGTCATAAGTGTTTTTGTTTGTTTATTATTTTAGCATAAAGCAGACCGTTTGTTTTCTCTATTGAAATGCTTCACATTTTTTATTCCGAGGCCTTTTAGAACTTATTATTCGGTATGATATTTTCTCTTTTGTTGACCTGTATTTGTGTACGTCTTTGGTAAATACTACTAGTCTCATTGGCAATCAAACCACATCTTCTCATTTCTGAATAATAGTTTAAGAAGTGTGGATCTTTGAAACAAAATGCAAAAATGTGTAATATCAGCTTTTTAGGACAATAAAAGTTTATTTGGACGACTTATTTATAAATCTAGCTTTTTTTTATCTATGAAATTATCGGTAATAAGGACAAAACGCTGATATTAATCATGATTGTTCTTTAATTAATAATTACTTTAAGGAGTCTATTAATGGTTTTGAGTCCAAGCACAATGACAGTTTATTAGATCGTGTATTGTTATTAAATATTTTTTTTACCATATGTATCTATCCATTCATGGTTTTTAGACGACGGACTGACGACATACACCAAGTGGTTAAAATAGTTCACATTGGCCTGTTGGGTCAAGTGATATGAAATATAGGAGATGGAGATGATGTTTTTTTGTCATGGAATACTGGGAAAAAACAATTTAGGAATGGAGTAACCGATCAACAGCTGTAAGACTGGTAGTCTTACTTCAACGTCTTTTTTCCCTACTTAACCTGCAACACCATAACTAAAAATTAGACTATCACATACCTATTGACAAATTTTGCATGTTTTCGGACAGTCTTATAATCTTGTTCCAAATTGTCGATGAGGGAGTTGGGGTGAACAATATCTGATAAACCACAGTTAGGAACCTCTTCATATGTTAGTGCTTTATTATTTGGAGAATTTGTTGATGACGGATGTATGATAGCTTCCGTTTAATTCATTCACAACTTATTTAAACTATTAAAAGCTTGTTGTCACAAATACCCCTTATGAACATGAATCAAAGTACTGAAGTACTGAACATCGGATGACTGCAAGTTCTTGTGGATGGTCACAAGCACTTGTCTCAGAAAAAAAAAATCACATCTCTATACCTGAAAGTGGGGTTAATATACAGATATAATTTTTTTTTCTTAGACAAGTTCGTGCGTGAATAATAAATAAATGACAGGGAATTCAACCTCACCGTAATAAATAAGATATTGAAGTGATACAAATCAGTATACTCTGGTTTGTTGTTATATATTATATTAATATTTGTATATTACAGTTACATGTATATATAATTTTCATCCATTTGTATATCATTCTATTCTACTATATTAATAATAGTGCAGTGTAAGTGCATGGTGGACACTCTTCTGTAATAATTCGATTTTTCTAATAGATTGGATTTGAGTAGGCATTCATATTTTCCCGCCAAACTTTCAATCTCACATGCAGAATTATCGGTCCTTGAGAGAGAGCGAGGACCGATAACTCTGCATGGGAGATTGCAAACGTTCTTTAGATATTCTTCCGCATGCGTTAACACACATTTTCTGTACGTGTGCATAGATATTAATGATTTTTTACTTATATATATATATTTCTAACGACAAATCATTTTCATATTATTAATTCATGTTCTAAAAAAAATATTTTTAGGAGTATCCATTGAAAAAATGAATTTATAACAAGCGATAAGGAATGTTATTTGGCACTCGATAATGTCCGCGTATTTATCATGTATAGATCGGTTACAATCCCAACACGAAAGTTACGTAATGGAAATCTAGGCGACTGCAATACACCGGAATGCCCTCACGGTCATCCGATGTAAAAATCTATTCAATATATTTAGCATAGCCTTAATGAACCCAAATACATTTCACCATGCATCTTTTTCCTGGAAGTTTTATACCAACATGAGTTTAGATCCGTGTGGAACACAAAACAAGGGTAGTAATCCTAAAAATTATGCCTCAAACAGAAAAAAAATCGCTTCTGGTACGTTAAGTGACTTCTGACAAATTGGGTGAAACATTGTGTCTTTTTATGTTGTAATGTTATACCTCTGTTTCAGGTTAGGGTGAAGGTTGGCGCCTGTTAAAACGTTTAAACCCGCTGCATTTTTATGCACCTGTCCCAAGTCAGTAGCCTGTTGTTCAGTGGTTGTCGTTTGTTGGTGTGGTTCATAAGTATTTCTAGTTTCTCGTTTTATATATATAGATAAGGCCGTTGGTTTACCTGTCTGATTTGTTTTACACTAGTCTTTTTTGGGGCCCTTTATATATAGATTGCTGTTCGGTGTGAGCCAAGGCTCCGTGTTGAAGGCCATACTTTGACCTATAATTGTTTACTTTTTACACATTGTGACTTGGATGGGTAGTTGTCTCATTGGCACTCATACCACATCTTATTTATACATAGACACGGAATTGTGCTTTGATTTTATTCATTGATGTTAAGAGGTGATTATTACATAATTACCGTCACATCTTCATCATTGCATATTTATAAGGCGCCAAAAGGATAACGAGAATTAAATAGCTAAATTGCTCATTATTTTACTCGCCTTTCATTATAAAACATCCATTTTACACCATTAACTACAATGAGGCATCAAGTATATAGACTGTGGCGTTTGAAGTGCATCCATCAAGAACACCTTACTTGAAGCCCTAGGAAAATTATTGTGCAGAACACCTTAAATAACCAAAAGAGGAAGTAATAAATGATGAAGCTTAGGTTAATAAGAGGGCCTACTGAATGAAATTCTGTCAACTTTTTCTAAAATCACAACAACAAAAAAAGGAATCATAAAAACAGAGGCCATGCATTCGCGAAATAAACAATAATCAAGCTAAAGCTCCATGGGAAATGCATTTATTTATCTAATTTCGTTGTCGACAAAATCAATTTATTCATATACATGTAATCGAATACGTGGTAACTAGCAAATTACTAAATACATATAGCACTAAATTCAATGATAAACAATTTGTTACTTTTACATGCTAAACTGGTAAGTGAAGCAGAATCTGTCGTCTGCTGATCGTACTTCCGACTCGCTGAGGTCTGCAATGGAGAAGGACGACTTTGGTGTTGTCAACGGGAGACGTAAGATGTTTGTTGATTCTATCGTTGTTGGTTGTATTGGCATTGGCGACACTTCTGGTAGACTAGGTAGTGGAGACCATAGAGAAAACCTTTGTCGTTGCACTTTGGTTCTTGTTGGTGTCCTTGGCAGTGGCGATATAGGAGGAGGTGGATAAGAAAACATGTCTTTGATGTCTTTGTAGGATGTTGAGTCAGGTGATCTGTCTTCATGAAGAATGGCTACTTCCTTAGCGATGTCTAATCCACTGTTAATGCAAAGGAACTGCTGTTGTTGTTGTACCGTTGGTAATTGGAGCCATGTTGCATGTTTCAGAGGAACAGTAGGTGGCGGGGATGGAGAAGACTTTGGCGATGAAGATGTACCAGATGAAGGACTGTCTGAATTGGTGCTTGGACGACGTCTGGAACGTCTATGCCTTGCTCTGCGATTCTGGAACCAAACCTGAAAATAAAAATAGATCAGTTAAAAACAAGTGAATAAATGAGTAATATAAGCTATAAAATATTTAGACAAACAAAATTTAACCATGAGTCCTTCTTTGATTGATTGTTTGGTGTAACTTTGCATTACGCCTTATCGGAATAAAAACTATTTATCGTAGCAAAAGCTTATATGTATATACGCAAACATATTTTATACAATAAGAACGTATAACTGGATATCCTGTTATCATAGTAGTATAAAAACAATAAGCGTCCATTTGATCGGAGACTAAAATAACATGTGAGTAGTCTCAGTTTCGGTAAGCAAAACTTGGACAGTGCTCTTTTTGCCAACTTTACAATTATGTAAAACTACAAAAAGAGACATACATTTGTAAAAATAACACTGTATGACAATGAATGAATGATAACGAAGAACAACTATTTATTGTCCAATTATGGGTATACGAGTTTCGTGCATATAATGATTGTATTATAACATTGCATTCTCCTACAAGACAAAATTTCAATCCTGGTATCTATGATGAGTTTATTTATCCACAATAACAAATTATGTGGCATATAGTACTGTATCAAGGAATGATCAGTGAAGTATACATTAACCGGTGTATATAAAAGAAGTTATAGATTGAGCTAATTTTCAACAGGAGCAATAAATTATTAATTATTTTTTGTTAAGCTAGTCACATCTGAAGACATGCAGTGACAGTGCTTAATTATTTGGAACTCTGTACAAAAAAAAACTTGTCCAAGGCAAAAAAGGAATCTAGTCTGTAGCAAAAAATAGCAGAAGACAGACGGTCTCCAGTCGGGTAATAAAGTTTGGCAAATTTAACTCGGAGGGTAAACTTTCAAGTCCAACCATACGCGTATGGTCAGGTTAATTAACACGCATTAACAAGGGGTCCCCATATTTAGAGTTTCTAAAAATGATCATATTGTAATCATTGTTACATTATTAATGAGATAAGGTGAATTTTACTTACAATTAAGAATTATAGCAACATCATTTATACATGATCATTATTGATTTGTCCTTACATTTGTACGAAACGCAATTTGTCGACTTATAAAAATAACTTCAAGAAATATCTAAATGAACTGAAACAAGAAGTCAATTGCTTAACTCGCAGGAATTTTGGTCATTCTTTCTTCTCTTTAAAAAAAAACATATTTTGGTGTTTTTCTTACATTAACATTTCTTAAACATTTGAAATTGTTTTTAGTTATTTAATGTGTTCTTGCTCCTATTTATACGATCTTACGATAACAGAAAAATCGTATGAAAAGGAGAAAGAACACAATAAATAAATGAAAATAAGTTGAGATTAGAAGAAATTTTATTCCTGAAATGATAATTTAAACACAAAAAAAAAGAAAGAAAAAAGGTCCATGCCCCAAAACGCCAGTTGTTTCACTTGCGGACGAAAAGAAAGATAAAACGCTCTAAATTAAGTCAAGCGAAGGCAAGATAACAGATACACCAAGATTCATACAATATGTAAAGATAAATTAATTCAGTTAGTAATTCGTATTGGTATGGGTTTGGAGAATGAGCTGTGTTCTCCTGCGAAGGAAGTTAGAATTTATTTTAAAAATATCTATATGGTCCGGTCCGTTAATAACAAAACGAGTATAATACTCCTATATATATGGTCCGACCATACGCGTATGGTCGGACCATATGGGTATACGTATATGGTCATAACCATACGCGTATGGTCCAGATACTCATATTCGTAACCATCACGCATGCCTCAAACTATGACATGTATAACATGTATACGTGATATAGTTAATAATTATGATCAAATACATGTAATCATTGAAACAAATACTAAAATGTAACGTAACATAATTATAAAGGAATGAACATGCCTCTCGTTTGTCAAAACTTGCACCTGAAAATAAATTACCCTTGTGTTCATTTTGGACGAATGCCTAGCAATAGTTTAATTAGAAGATACTTAGTTAAATACTGTGCGAAATTTATTAAGGAAAATTTAATCTGACCTAGGAGGGGTTTTTTTTCAGAAATGTTTGCTAATTTTGAATTCCTTGTATGAAAAAGTAATAAAATAATTATAATCATTTTTTGTTTATCGAGGACGCTTGAAATATTTATACGGGGTAAGTTTATAATTGGACTCCCTTTGTTTACTTATGTTACCCTGATTTCTCAGGGTTAGAAAAATTGTCTATAGACTCATTAAATTGTTCCTCTCCACGGAAATCTTTAGTAAAAGGCGAAAGATTTATTCGTGGTTTGAAGAGAAACCAGAGTAACCAAAATTGGAAGTTGAATGGACCCAACTAAAAAATAAAATTGTTCAGTTTTGGTATTTAATTGACACATTTTTTGCAAAAAAAAATTCAACATATACCAAAAGATTTATTAAAATACTTAATTTTATTTATTATAAATATTCATTTTCAATCATTGTATTGATTTAATATTTTAGAAATTAATATTACTTAAAAAGAGTTTTTTTCTAGCAGCCCATATAAAGGGAGATAATTCATAAATATTTCTCGATACAAATTATTATTTGACATGTAGGTCTCATGGGCATCATAATGTGAGATAATAATCCATGCTTGTGGAGTGGAACCCTTTTTTAGTTTTTAAGATTTTCGTTTAAATATATATATCTGAAATATTAGATTTCTAAATCTCGAGAATTTTATTAAAAAAAAATTATATGCACATCGAGTGGCATCGGAATCGTTTGAAAACATGAAGAATATGTCTGCACGTACGCTTAATTTCCTATAGAAAAAAATGGGCTATTATATTGGAGACTGTTTTGAATTAAGGAGATCAGGTATGATTATTCAATTGACACTAAGTCTAGTATAAATAATTTGAGAATGAATGCATATATATAATGTAGTTTTATTCTTTTATTCACAATATCTAGGAATTGTATATTTAATCCTGTTAATATGTATATTGTTGTTGGCTCTGACTCTGACCCGGAATGCTAAAATACTATTTATTGTTGTAATTATCAATATTATGTCAATTAATTGTAACTGATTTATGCCCTTTATGGGCACTGTAATTTGGGAAATAAAAATATTCCGGCTATTCTATTCTATTTTTTAGAAACACTCACCTGAACTCTGGCCTCTTCTTCGTTGATCTGTTTAGCCAAAGTGATTCTTTCTTTGATGTCGGGATACTTGTTCTCGATGAAGGCTTTCTCTAGAAGAACAATGGTGGCGTTAGAGAACATGGTCCTGTTACGACGCTGACGCTTTTTTGGTTGGTCCGAGTCTAAAATAAAATTTAAAATAAGATATGTGAATGAACATTTATCAATTATGAGTAAATATAATGCCCCGCAAAAAGTGTTTCTATATACAACTGTAATAAACGTGCTTTATTCTTCTTAAATAAACGAACAGACAAAGACAAAATACCCAAAGAAATAAACAAATAAAAACTGAATAACACACCAACCCCTATCCCGCACCATATATGTTTATTTTTGCACAATAAACATGTGGGTTTTTGAACTCTAAAATGCGATAAAACGACGTTCATTATACATGAGCTAGTGGTCACTCAAGTAAATTTAAAATCATGCATATCTTGCTTCATTTTTTTTTATAATTCTGTCTTATTTTTTTTCATTTTCTTAAGAGTCACATAGGTAACAGTTTGTATCTGACCTAGCTATTAAAATAAATATTGAGGAAATTGGTATTTTAAAAGTAGGAAAATAACTTCATATAGACTTACCAAAACCCATTATTTTGCTGATAGAGTGGTCTGTAACAAAAGCTGGCATTGTTGGTTGTGAAGTTGAAACTAAACCGATGGTCATATATGTCTGATTTATACTGTAAATGTTCTTGTGTTTATTTAATATTGAGTAATGTATTATAGTATTATGATTGGATATTGAAATAATATTCAATAGGAAGCCAGTTTTATCTTATTAAAATAATATCAAATTGTGACAGTGTATACATAATCACACTAGAGAAGCCCTTTTCCTGATTAGTTAATTGCTAGAACAACAAAGTTAAGGCTTATAATAATTTTCTCACATTTCTTTGAAGTTCAATAGATTTTAATAGAAAAATTGAATTACAACCAAGCTGGCGTTTACTCTAACATGATCAATCATTTTTACAACCTTTTTTGAATTGGTTATTTAGTATTTCTGAAGATTAATTAATTAAATGATTATAGATTAGATTCCACTCTTGATGAACTGCATATGTATCAGCTTTTTTTTAACATCCTTGATGTATGTTTTTGTACTCCTTTCTACAAACGGGAACTTGATAACATATTTGATTTACATTCAATGTAAGATTATCTTTCATTTTGTACCAAAAGGGTAGATTTGATATATTATCATTTAAGGTTTACGCAACAGGTTCTGTTGTTCTGCATATGTTCAACCAGAGACATATAATACAATACAATATTGTATTATATGTCTCTGGTTCAACGCAACGAATGCATTCGAAAAAAATCTTTCAATAAACTCATCTCTGTAATATTTTCACTTTGACCTGTGTATCTTAGATATGTCTGTTGTGTAATGTAGTAAAGAGTTTGGTGTATGAACAGAATAAGAAGTTATAACAATTAGATTTGGCATTTCTGTTTTATGAAGTGTTGGAACAAAACTACAAATATCAATGCAAACATTACAACCCGGCAGAGGTGGATTTGGTAGGGGAGGGGCGGGCGGCGACCGGGCACCATTATGAAGCTATACATATACGGTTAATGCAAGACCGAATTCTGACGTGGTCTTTCGGGCCCTCACTTTTGCAAAATCCTGGATCCGCACCTGACATTGTATATGTGTGTTGTGTGACCAATGTTAGTCCTATCATGATTCTAGAGCCCTATATCAGTCTAACACACGTTTAATGAAAATAAAACCTGAGACTACTATAACACATATACTGTGTTATTATATTGAAGTATAAGTTAAAACCAACAGATAAGTCAACGTTGGCCATCTTCGCACTTAAAACGTTGGTTCTACAAAGTTTACTAGAGTTGGGTCATCAAAAATCGATTCCTTGGCCCAACAATACATGAATACATTATGCATATACGGCCTAACGATGTGCCGGTGCACACACCTAGATTGATAGGATTTCTTGCGTAGAAAATACTTCTAAAATGTAAAATGGAATCTACATTTTAACTATTACATCGATTTCATTCCGTTGCTTTGTTTTATTCGGAAAATAAAATTGCTTGTACGTGCTAACATCACGTGACATAATGGTACCTTTGGATCAGTATTATTCCAAAGATTATATACAAGTATAGATACTCGAGGATGTATTTTCCATGTTCAAGTTCAATATTTTAGATACATTATTTCGGATAGGTCTTTTTCGAGGTAAAAGACATTAACAGAGTTGGAAGACTCGAAATTACTCTTATAATATTATATAAGTATAGATTTTTGCAAGGAAAAAAACAAAAACACAAAACAAAACAAAAAACTATCATCCACAAACAACATGTAGATAATGAACAGTTTGATTACACTCTAAAAGACACCATAGTATTTCTCGAATCAATCCAACTTATTCGTAAACATCGCAAGTGACCTACACTGGGGAAGGGAAACTATGTACATATGTTACTTTTAAATCCAATTTTGGTTGCGAAAAATATCTTGATATTGTTAAAAAAATTGAAGAGAGACAGAGTCTAACAATATTTCGCATATCTGCTTGAACCATTTACTTATAGAGAGAGGTAGATATAATAATAATGTAATAGTAATGAGGTCGAAGATGAAAAACATTTTCTTTTTAACTGTCTATCCTGAGACTACTATAGTCTCAGGTCTATCTGACTAACGAAAAGATATGATAACAATGATAAATAATTGCTGCAAATTTTAAAAATCTAGACCCTACAAAAAAACTGCTGTGCACTGGTCATGAGGAGAACTGCTACAAAATGAGAAACTATATTTCTGGTTCTATTATTTCCTGTTAATAAATTTTATATCTATTTTTTTTATATAAAATCGACCTCATTACACTTAATGCTTCATACTGTAATAACATCCTATATGGTCCGGGAACACAGTTATCACAAATATAGTCCCTAGTGTGGACAGTGTGTTACTTGCCAATTTTGTTATATCCCTTCCAAATTTATTTCTTCATGTTTTATGCTTCAAATAGCAAAGTAAGGGGAAGAAATTACACTGCAAAAAAATTTGGGTCATGAATTTTAAAGAAAAGTAGTGATTTGGTCCAGCTGAAAAAGGTTAAAAATTAGTATTTCGGGAGCTGACAAAAAAATTCAAGACCCCTATCACAAAATTGTCCATATTTTGAGTTAGAGCTGATGAAGTTTTCTATAATTTGATATAATTTGTCCCAAAAGTAGTACACCACACTGTAAAAATATTATTGAGAAAGCGCAGGTGCGATTTCTTTTTTACTTTCCATTTATTGTCTTAAAGAAATGCACTACGAAATAACTGTGGTCTCGGGCCATATTGCTCATATTTGACCTTATTTCTTTGTGTATTGTGTATTTTCACTAAAAACTTGCACACTTTATAATAATTATTGTATTATGTATCTTGCCTGACAAGGGTCCATGATGGTAAATAAAATAATGTCTAATGTCTATTGAAGAAATCTGTAACAAACCATAAAGAACACCACAGACACTAGACGTTCTATCAATAATAATAAAATATGGGCAATGGGAAGAAAATAGTGTCAATATATATTTATAAAAATAAAATATGGGCAATGGGAAGTAAATAGTGTCAATAGATATAAGAAGATGTGGTATGAGTGCCAATGAGACAACTCTCCATCCAAGTCACTATTTATAAAAGTAAACCATTATAGGTCAAAGTACGGCCTTCAACATGGAGCCTTGGCTCACACCGAACAGCAAGCTATAAAGGGCCCCAAAAATTAAAAGTGTTAAACTATTAAAACAGGAAAACCAACGGTCTAATTTATATAAAAAACGAGAAACGAGAAACACTTATGAACCACATCAACAAACGACAACCACTGAACATCAGGTTCCTGACTTAGGACAGGTGCAAACAAATGCAGCGGGTTTAAACGTTTTAATAGGCGCCAACCTTCACCCTAACCTGAAACAATAGTGTAACATCACAACAAAGAAACACACACTATAAAATATCAATTGAAATGGCTTATTTCAATCAAAAGACATAGTTTTTACTAACAAAAACACGTGAACATACACTGAACGAATAAATTTGATCTATGGCACAATGTAAATACAAAATTAATAAATTTATATACATTGACACTATTTTCTTATATACATTGACACTATTTACTTCCCATTGCCCATATTTTATTATTATTGATAGAACGTCTAGTGCCTGTGTTATGACACTTAATACTCTTTGTTAATTTCATCGAAGTTTAGAACATTTGATATTTCCTGTTGATTTACAAGTGGAAAATTCGTGACTATGATCAGAGACATATAACACACAATGTGTATATGTCTCTGGTATCATGTTGTAGGTATAAAACCACTAATTTATAGCCCCATTGCTTTCTATGTTAAATTCTGCAATTTCAAGCATAAATGGCTACTTTATCTTAAGTTCAAATAAAGTGGCAGTTATTTCATGTCAAAACTGTACCTTATGCTGACTTGTGCTGAAAAAATCAACATACCTTTAATTGCATATTAGAGCGTACTGGTTCCCGGAAGTTTGATAGTACAAAAACAGGAACTTCTGATCTGAACAACAGGCCAAATGAGCCCTCCTACTAAAATTTCCTATACTTCTTTATTATTCAAATAAAACTTTCAACAAGGGTTCTACAGTGACCCCAAGTCCCCAAGCTTTCATTTGATACTAAAACTACCCAAATATTCCCACTATTGACAAAGATACAGCTATGCGTAGGAACTATTTTGTTTAAAATATGTACTATTTTCTTGTATGTTCTTTCCGACCGGGCCTGAATTAGTGGTTCTATACCTATAACAGCACCAAACTTGTTATATTGACTTCTGCTTGACTTAATTTCCTTCTATGATCTATTTCTAGCATAGAAAAACACATAAAGCTTTTGTCAAAACACTATATCACTGAATTCAAGCTCAAATTGGACTGGTAGTAGCATATGCGTTAAACAAAGAAAACTACATATAGATACTAATAGTGACAGATATGACACTTTTTCAATTTTTACCAGTTCTGATTTGTTAATATCTACTCAAATAACAGTGTTCTTACCTATATGTCTTATTTTTATCAGAGATTCTTCCTTGAATACAAATACAGTGGTCCGAACATAAAATATAATTGATAATTTTGTCCCCCCTTTTTTCTACATGTTGGAAAAGGAGAGTGATTAGGTAAAAAAACATACTTTTATGTATAAACATGGATCAACAAAGCAATTTATGTATCTCCAAGCTAGACAACTTGCTAAAATGATTATAAAATGCATTTCAAGTGAGATTTTGGAATTCCTATATAAGTATACACCAATTTTCCTTGAAATAAATAATTCACCAAGAAACACAATAAAACATGAACACTCACTAGATAATTTGACCAAAAACAATATTTATACTATAAACTAGTCATAATATACAAGTTTCATTGGTTTCAGTGTTAGATAATCCAAAAATTTAAATTTCAGGTAAAATCTTAACTGTGTGCATGCTAAATGACCAAAAAAGGCTAAAATACCTTATTGTAGCAATTTGAGGGCTGTAATTTGACACTAA